TTCAGGCTGCAGCCACTTGGGCTCTGCCAGGGCATCCTTCCTGGCCCCTCCAGCCCATTGCTGGGATCTATTCATATTTGGTGCTATTGGAGGGTGAAAAGTTTGGCACTAGCAGCTTCTGGAGCAAGGACTATTGCCTCTGTTCTAGCAGTACCAAGGACCCAGCTCTCTTGGGTCCCTCTTCCTTAACAGTGCCCTTAGGGCACTGCCTTCCTCCCCATGTCACATTCTGTGGACCTATCGTGTCACTGTGGTGCTTTCCAGATACTCTTGCCTTTTCCCTGGCAGGGAAGAACTCTGGCAAGGTAAATATATGGTGCTGTCCCAGCACCTCTCTGTTCCTGGCTCCCCCAGAGGCTGTGGAGGAAGTGGACTGCCTAGTAGGCCAGTCATTGAGTGTTCTTGCTGCCCTGCCACAGGTGGGGATTTGTTCCTTGGGCTTTCCCTCCTGTGGGTGTGAGTGTAGAGGCAAGCCCTCCACTTCTCCAAAGGCTCCATGTGGGCCCTGGAACCTGACCTGGTGGGCAGAGCTTCTTTTGAGGCCTCCTGTGGGAGACCACTGTACTTCATGGGTATCCTAGGCTGCAAAAGAGTGGGGGGACTTGGGCATGGAGACTGGGAGCCAGTTTCTGGAGTCAGGGGAAGAGACGCATGGGTCCACAGGATTGGAGGTCTTGTTTGGACTCTCAAGTTGAACCCTGTGCTTCCATACTGCAGATGGAGACCTTCTGCTCCCCCTCAGCAGGGCACCTAACAGGTGCTTGGTGTTGATTTTAACCCAAATGCCTTTTTTAGCTCCAGTGCCCCTGTTTGGGGGTATCCCACACTAGCTGGGGAGAGTCCCCCTCGGCCTCCGGTGTTAACATCCTTGACCCATCGGCCTCTGGTGCTAACATCCTTGACCCACATCATCTACGAGGCAGCTGTGCCCTGAGGGGACCCTGTAGCTCATGTAAAGCAGGTCCCCGTCGATTCCTCCTTTTCATGAGGGATCCTCTAGCAGTGGCCCTAGGATCTTGTAGTTGAGCCTTCTTTGTAGAATCATGTAGAGCACTTGAGTCTCTGGCTCTGGGTGATGGGCAGTGAAGCTCTTATTATCACACACCACCTGGTCTGGGGCTCTGACTTCTCTGCCTACCTGTGGGTGTGAAAAATGAAAGGGAGAGGCCCATGTGGGGCGCTGTGGGAGATGCCAGGAAGCCCGGGGATACCAGCAGCAACCTCCAGACCTGGGGCCTCTCAGGCAGGGCGTGCACTCCTCTTGGGTGAAGAGGCTCCCTAGTTACTTGGGAGCTCAAAGCTGCCTCAAGATGGGAGTGTGGCATTCCCTGCCTAACCCCCGTACACCATTGCTGGAAGGCACTAGAGACTGACTGTTGTGGTCTGCTGGCTCCCCTGCCTCCGCCTGTCATTCTTAGCTGTCTTCTGCCACTGGTGCCCAGCTCCAGCACAGGGGGGAGAATCATGTCCTATGAAACGGTGTTTACAGCCCAACCACCTTCAGGACAACTGGCAGGCAGGTGGGGCCCCAAAGGGCTCTTCCTCCTACATGGCTATGAAATACAGCTGGCTGCCTCACCTGCAACCTGGAGCTGGTCACCTCTACTGCCAGCCTCATTCGTCTTGCTGTTGCATTTAGTGGGCTGCCTTGGCCATGGTTGAGTGGTCTGTGCCATGCCTCAGGTGAGCAGTGTGGAGGGTCTCCAGTCCCAGGGATTTACAGATGCTTCTAGAGTTACCAGGGGATGGCTCTATTCATTCAAGTGTCCTTTAGGGTGCTGGGTTCAAAGGCCTCCCAGTGCCATGTAGGATTAGTGAATTAGGGGGCTATGGGTCTATTCTTGCCTTGGCGGCTCAGAGTAGCACGCTTTCTGCCCACATCCTGCCTGTGTCTCACCCTGCTCCCTAGCACCTGTGCCATGCAGCCAGGCAGGCATTGGGCTGTTCTCTGTGCTGTGTAATTGGTGAGTCAACTCAACATGCTTGGCAAAGCAAGAGCATGGCCCCTTGCATTTTGGTGCCTTTCTGCACTAGTGGGACTCTGGGAGTGCTCACTTGCATGCAGGAGGTATGTATCCAGTGCGGTGTGCTGTGGAAGGCTTGCAGTGAGAGAAGCAGCAGAAAGGGTAATATAGGGAGGGAGAGCAGGATGACTACAGAGCATGGGGCTTTCTCAGTGCTTCACACACTCCAGCAGGTGGGTCTGCATTCCCCAACTTTACAGGTGGGGAAACTGAGTCCCAGAGAGAGACAAGATAATGTGCGTAACATGTTGCTGGGGTAGAGCTGTGAGCAGAGCCTTGAAGGCCCAAACTCCCAGGCTGCTAGTAGCTGTCTCTTCCCAAGAGATGCCCTTTCTGTGAATGTGGATCCGCCCAGAATCAGCAGCTCCTTGCTGAGATTCTGGGTACCTGCCTGGTGAATCAGTTCCCTCTGGTCAGGGGCTCAGCCTCTCCATTAGCTCTCCTCAGGGAGTCTGTGGAAGCACTTCCTTTCCTGCTCCAAATGTGGAGTTTCCAGCAAGGGGATTTTGGGGATTCTTCTTCCCTGGGCCAGGGAGACTGGGGACTTTCCAGTAGGCTCTGTTTGCAGGTTTCCTTCCTGGCAACCAAAGGAAAAGGAAGAAACCTTTACAAATCACAGAGGGCTGGTACTTGGGAATGATGCCCCTGCCCCTTCTACTCCCTTGCAGCCCTCTCTGACAGGCATGGCATAGGCTGGCCTGGACTATGCATGCTCCCTTAGTGCTCTCCTGAGGCCTCCTGCTGCCTGGGCTAGAGGCAAAGCACCTCCCAAATGCTCCTGTGTCCACAAGGCACTCCCCATGCCCTGCATCCCAAGTCATGTTCAGCTTCTCTGGACTAGATAATGTGCCCTGCAGTCTGCAGCAGCACCACTGCCTCTGAGGTGGAAACTTTATGAGCAAAGGCTGGTAGGATGCTACACCTGTCCAGTGAAGGGTTACCTGGCTGGAGAGAAGCAACTGGCTGGATCACAAGTCATAGAATCATAGAAAAGTAGGGCTGGAAGGGGCCTCTGGAGGTCACCTAGTCCAGCCCCCTGCCTGCGGCAGGGTCATCCCTATCCAAAGGAATGTGGAAAAATAACCCTGACACATAGCAACAGAAGGGGAAAGAATTTCTTCCTGGTCCCAGGTGGCAACCAGAAAAGGCCAGAAGCATGAGAAATACCCGTGGCAGAACATAGGCATAGCTACTCCTAGATCATCCCTGATCACTGTTTATCCAGTCCCTTCTTGAACACCTCCAGTGATAGTATTGCCACAACTTCCCTAGGCCATCTATTCCACTGCTTCACTGTTCTAACAGTGAAACTTTTTCCTTATAACCAGTCCAAACCTACTTTGCTGCAACTTCAAGTCATTAGTTTGTGTCTGCTCTCTGCACCAAGAGAGGAAAGGTGTTTCCCCCCTTTTTTATGGCAGCTCTTCAAGTATTTTAAAACTGTTTTCATGTGCCCTCTTCTGCATGCCTAGCTCCTTCAACCTTTCCTCATATGATTTGCCTTCCAAGCCCTTTATTAATGTTGCTTGCCTCTGGACCCTCTCCAAACTTCTCCGCATCCTTTCTGAAATCTTGAGCCCAAAACTGCACACAGTTTCAGAAATTAAATTTTGGGCATCTCATGTTGGGAGCGTGAGTGCTTGCTCTGTCAGACAGGCAAGTCTAGGCATGGGTAGAAGGATCCCATACACAGGGCTTTTGGGCTCACCTCAGTAGGAAAGAATAGTGACTCTTAAATCCCAGGGATCTTCTTGATACTTTCTCTTCAGTAGGTCAAGTTCCCCACCCCAGAGAGGATGTGAGGAGCTCTCGCTGGTGCAGAGCACAGGGCTGTGGTTTCGGGGTGGCTGAAGAGGAGTGTGGGAGGTGGACTGGAGACAAGGAAATGGCTGAGCAGATGGGTGATGGGAACACAGGAGTGGGGAGGAGGGTAGCCTGGAGGGCTGAGGAGCTGTGGAAGAAGAGGCTGGAACCTGGTGCAGGAGGAACCAGGAAGGTACTGAGGGGTACTGGAGCAGCTGAGAAAAAAAGCACCAGTGGTCAAGGGCTGAGAGTGCCAGAGACTGTTTTGAGTGGGGGGGGGAAGGAGTTGTTTTATTTCCATCCCATGAAGCTGGCTGTCTCCTAGCTTAGACCCCCACCCCTGCAGGGCAGGGCAGGGCTGCTTCTGGGACAGGCTGGCTCCTTGCCCGGAAGCGAGGCTCCAGGAAGGCTTGCACGGGACCCAGGGCAGCAAGTGTTTCCTGCTGTCTGGAGCCGTGGGCTCTGCTCTGCTCTACCCCACTTCCAGTGCCTGTCTTTACCAGGACTGGACGATGGGATTGCTTCCCATCCTTGGTCATAGGCTGATCCCTGGCACAGAACCATCTGAGGTGCTGCCCTCCCCAATGCCAGTGCTCTGCATCAAGTAGTTTGCCTGGAACGCAGCCTGCTGCCTGTTTCCATGGGCAGCCTGTACCTTGGAAGTAGCTCAGCTCAATGGGGAGCAGGGAGCAGTAGGGGGTGGGGGCCAGGCATCTATCTCCAGGGTGAACTGTGCTAACTTAGTCACTTCCCAGAGCTCTAAGGCTGGGAAGAACCATGGGACATGCATGCTCTTCCCTGAAACCTGCTATAGCAGTATCCCCAGCTGTGACCAGGACTGCTGGTTCCCGTTGCTCAGAGGGTGAATGCTCAAGCCTGCCTGCTCTGCTCATGGGCCATGCTGGCCAGGCCACCATCTGTACCAGCCTCTGCCTTTTCAGAGCAGCTCATTAGCAGTTCAGGAGGAAGCATTTGTCTTCACAGCTTTGCGGATGGATGAGAAGGAGACACATTTGGAAGGGGCTGCAACCTGAGTTGACCAGGTGCACTCCTGTTCCCTGTAGCTGCCTCAGAGCTCCCTCCCCCCTTCCTGTGCCAGCTTGACTTTTGCTGCTTTCATCCCTTGGCTGCTCCAGCCTCTTATTACCATGCTCTGTCTCCTTCCCCTTACAGGGAGGCCCTCCAGGTCACACTCGACGATGTCGCTCTCTGTGCGACCCCAACGTCGTGTCCTCGCCGCCAGGATCAATAGGAGCCAGTCGTTTGCTGGGGTGAATTCAACGCAGGACAAGGCCTTCAGGTAGGCTGTCCCCATGTGGCTTCAGCTGCTGGGACAGGGAGGATAGGACTTGGCAGATACAGTGATACCCGCATGTGAGAATCCCAAGTGCACTGTGGTTTGGGGGCTTCCCTGAGCTGCCCCTTGGCACTTACTTTAGCACCTATTGTCTGAAATCTAGGCTGCACTTGGGGTGGGGGATCTTGCCATCAGACATTTGTACAAATGCAGACACAAGAAGGGGGAAAGGTCAACTTGCCTAGACAAGAGAGAACTCAGGAGTCCTGACCCCATGTCCCACCTCAAACCACTAGATTATTCTGTCTCCCAGTCCCTATTTGCATTCTGTCTGGCAGCTGGATTTAACTTGTCTATAAAAGGGATGTTCAAAGGATCTCCCTCAAGGAGGCTTCCGAACAGAATCCTGAGTTTCCTGATGCCAGGGTCAGCTTGCCCTGTGGGAGACTGTGCAGAACCACTGGTAGATGGGTCAGGATTGGAATCTGATACAAGTCCCAGCCATTGTGTGAGGGCTTTGAGGTGAGGGGTCCAAATGCATACCTGGATCTCGGAGTGTCTGCTGTGTTGGGTACGTGCCTTCAGCCAAAGGAAACAGCACTGGGGTTGCAGACTCTTCAGAGTGTTGCCCCCTGCCCTCTAGCACTCCCTCTGTCTTGCTCTGGTTCAGCCCCACAAAGTTTTCTAAACTTACAAGCTGGTCTTATTAACAAAATGGCCTGGCACTTGGATAGTGTGTCATCAAACATGGTGAAAGAGAGGTAGAGATCATGGCTGGCACTGGAATCCATATCACTCAACCTGTTCACCTGGCAGGTGCATGGAGATGTTGAAAAGAACCACAGAGAGAACTGATCCCTGTGGGATTTCACAAATGGGGCATCTTGTGGCAGAGGTGCAGTTTTCTGTTACATATTAGATGCATCCTACTGGAATGGACTTGGACTGCTAGGTGAAGCAGCATTGTTTCACCATCAGCAGTATCAAATGCTGCAGAGGAGTTCAGGCCAATGAGAATGGGTGTATATACCTTCTACTAAGGGTGCACCAATAGCCATTTTTAGGGCTGATACCGATAGCCAGTTTTTAAGGAGACATATTGGCTGATACCGATCCGATTTCCAATACGCAGATCTTCAGCTTGTAAGTCTGGTATGGTGGAAGGGGTGTGGGGGGTGCAGATCAAGGTCCCTGCGGTGAGGGAGGGAATGGGGCTGGGGCAGGTGCTGACCAGCCGGGGCGGGGAGGTGCGCGGGACAGAGCCGCAAGCAGTTCTGCAGGCACCGGTGGTTGATGCTGTGGCTGGCCACCCTGGATAGCTCCTGAATATCTGGTTTGGAAATGACCAGGGAGGCTGACGGGAAGGTTTTCTTGGCCATAATACAGCCTCAGCACAGATGCAATAGAATTTTTTCCCAACCGTTTTGTTCTAGCCTTTGTTTTCTGCCATCAGTGTGAGGTTTAATCTAACACAGGGTATTGGAAAACCAAGGAGATCTGTGCGGGTGATGGGGGAAAAAGTGGACTTTCAGGGGCCAGGTTGTGATTCCCCAGGCCCATGACATCTGTGTCCTGTGGGCGGAGTGCTGTTCTTCTTTTGCAGCTTTGAAATCTGGTGGAATCTGAGTTCTGTGGTTGAATCATGATCATTATCTTGCTTCCTTGGAGTAGCTGGGAGAACACGACAACTGCCTAAAGGAAAAGACAATTTCTGTAAGACATTGCCTGGGTTGTGATGCTCTTGTTATCAACATGTAGGTTGAGGAGCAGTCCAGACTGTGTGGCTAGGAGCAGAAATGGCTGGAGAAGGTCCTTGGGGTGTGAGCAGAAATGCACTTCCGGGGCACTGAGTATTGAGAGAATTCAAGTGAGTGCAAGATGGAGAGGTGGAAGAATCTAAGCACAGCACAATTTCCATGGAGTCAGAGGGCAGAGGACAGGGAGGTGTCTGACTCAAGTTCCATTGTGTGGAGCCAAGTCCTCTTCTGAGGAACCAAATTTCTGTTGTAGTTTTATTAGCATGGGGTTCAGGTGCCATCCCATGGGAATTCCCATAATGTGTGGGGAGGAAAGGGAGCCCAGTCTGCATTCCTTTCTATTGGATGCTGTATTACACACTTGCCCTTGGGCTATCAGGTCACATTTCCTGCCTCTGGAAATAGTGAAGGGTTGGGTACTTCCTGAATCGCTTACTCAAGTCCATGGACATTTCCGGCATGCAGTTCTGGTTGGATTTGTAATGCTCAGCTTGAATTGGAACAAAATAAACTCCCTAGGTAAAGGATCTTGGTCTCTGAATGCAGGAATTGCAACAAATCCCTCTCCTTGGCCAGATAGCTGGAGCTAAAGCTGCACTGGTCCAGGGCCAAGCAAAGAAGCATGGTGTAAGGTCCTGTGTGCTCTGAACTCCCATTGCAGTAGAGAAGCCCTAAAACTGCAGTGGCTATGGGTGCAATTTCCAGAACTAGCTTTTTAGCAGTGCCTGCATGTGTCACCTGCCCTGAAAAAGCTCTAGCCTCTGCTTCAGTCCCAGGGGCTGTTTGAATACCAGCTTTAATTGTCTGGGCCTTGTGTGTCATGGGGAACATGCAAGGCCCAGACTCTCTCGGTGCTTTTGCTAGGCAGCTGAGTTTCCGTAGGGAGCGAGCAAACATCAGTTAGCCCTGGCTGAACAGAGCCCTAGTGTTTTGCCCAGCAGTGTGTACTGAAGGTTAATCTGGCAGAGTACAGTAGGAGAGGGATTAGCTTTTACTGAGAGGAGGGAGGCATCCTCATGTGTCATTGATTTGCCTAGTGAACAGCTTTCCAGGTTTGTGGTCCCCAGCAACACCTATGAGAGGCCACATCAACTGGGAAATAAAATTCAGCACCTTCCATACCTCAGCCATGACCAAGTTTGGCCAATATGGCAGGTGTATTTGCTTGTGCTTCTTGTCCCTATCCTCTGGGGAGGGAGGGGGCACATACAGCCCCTGTTAAAATCATGATCCAGACCAGGCTAAAACTTAGTTATATAATGTAGTGTCCCAAGAGCATGCCTTAGCCACAGCTTGCAGCTATGAAGGAGCAGTCACTAGTCCCAGTCCTGCTGCATAGGAACTGGAGGGCAGGCACTTTAATGCAGACAGGACACTTTCCCCATTGCTAGCATTTCCACCATCCTGTTGCCTAGACCTACCCTGGGCAGCGTTAGACAGCCCTGTGTTTCAAACCTCCATGTTTTTAAAAAATGTCATCTTTGAAGCCAAATCGGTTCCAAATTATATAGACTGAGCAGAGCGCAATCGTTCAAATCTGGGTGGCACTACTACCAGCAAGCATCCTACCTCTCAGACTCTTCAGCCTGGGGCTTCAGACACTCCCAGATCTGGCATCCTATATGTAAGCCCCAAGCCTGGAGGCCTTGGAGTTAAGATATCCCTGGTTTCGCTTGCCCCTAGCCAAAAGGCTGAAGGAGCAAGCTAGAGGGAAAGCTGAGAGCAATCCCCCATCACCATAGATAGTGTAGCTGAAGCATTTATAGACTCTCACAGGGGTGCCTGCCTGCAATGCATTGGACAGGTCTCCACCTTGTAACTACACCATGTCATTCAAGGCCAAAAAGAAGGGTATCTCTCCTGCCAGGTACGTAAAAACCACCTGATCATGGTGTTGATCGTAGTTGGAACTATATTAGTACCATGGTGAGGAAAGGGGAAGAGGCCTCCTGTATGGTGTTATTTGTAGTGCAGGCAAGGCAAGCCTGAAAACCTTGTAGTGTTAACTGTTTGCTGTCTTTCCACTTCATGTGCAAATTCCTTCCTCCCTGTATCAATGGAAATGGGACCTGGCTGTGCCCATAGAAAAGCAGGGTCCTCAGGGGTCATGTAGTCCCTCCCCCTGCTGTGGGACAGGAAGTAGACCATTCTTGACAGATGTGTATCCATCTTGGTCTTAAAACCCTCTCACAACCTTCCTGGCTTGCACTGGCTTCCAGTGTCTCACAACACTCACAGTTTTTTTTCTAATATCCAACCTAAATCTTCATTGCTGCAGTTTAAGCTGTTTTCTTTTTATCCTTCCCCCAAGGGACAGTAAAAACAAATTATCACCATCCTCTTGTTTATAACAGCTTTTTAGGTATTTAAAGCCTATTATTCTGTCTTCCAAGCTTTCTCTTTTCTAGACTAAATGAGTCCAGTCCTTTCAACCTTTCCTCATAGGTCATGTTTTCTAAACCTCTTATTCTCCTTTGGACTCTTTCTTCTGTTTGTTTACCTTTCTCAAAGTCCATTGCTCAAAACTGGGCTCAATAATGCAGCTGAAGTCTCTCCAGCATCCAGCAGCGTGGAAGAATTACCTCCTGGGTCTTGCCTTATACAGGCATAGAATCATAGAAAATTAGGGTTGGGAGGGACCTCAAGAGATCATCTAGTCCAACTGCCTCCTCAAAGCAGGACCATCCCCAACTAGATCATCCCAGCCAAGGCTTTGTTTAGCCAGGTTTTGAAACCTCCAAGGATGGAGATTCCACAACTTCTCTGGGTAATCCATTCCAGTGCTTTACTACCCTCCTGGTGAAGAAGTTTTTCCTACTATCTAACCTAAACTTGCCTTGCTGCAAACAGACCATTGTTCCTTGTTCTCTCATCTGCCACCACTGTGAACAGTCTCGCTCTATCCTCTTTGGAACCCCCCTTCAGGTAGCTGAAGGTTGCTATTAAATCCCCTCTCAGTCTTCTCTTCTACAGACTAAATAAGCTCAGTTCTCTCAACCTCTCCTTGTAAGTCAGTGCCCCAGCCCTCTCACCTTTTTTCGTTGCCCTTTGCTGGGGTCTCTCCAATTTGTCCACATCCTTTCTGTAGTGGGGGGCCCAAAACTGGACACAGTACTCCAGATGTGGGCTCACCAGTGCTGAATAGAGGGGAATAATTGATCATTTCCTTCCATCTGCTGGCAACACCCCTACCACTGCAGCTGAGTATGCTGTTAGCCTTGGCAGCAAGGGCACACTATTGGCTCC